GAACAAAAATGTCTTAAAATAACCTGTAGTATCCAAAAACACCATAAAATACAGGGTGTTTCATAAGAAAAAACAAAGTTGTCCGCCATATTGGAAAATGGCGGCCATTAAGAAAAATTTCGAAATCACCCCAAAATGCAGAATAAAAAATAAAGGGAAGTCCCCCAAAAGAAGTTGTTTGTCAGATTTAAAATTAAAAAGTTAGCTATTGGAAAACTTTAGGCTGGACACCCGGTATATATATAAATATATAAACATATAAATATATGTTGTATAATTTGAACGGATGGTGTGTTTTTGGCCTCTAGGGACCTCAAAACAAAAAAAAAGTAAAAAAAAAAACACAAGCTAATATACAAAAACAATATGATTTAAAATATTCAACATGTTTCCCTGGCATAGTTAAACCCTCACATGCTACTCACACTCAAGTCAACAATATGGCAGCAACCTAAACATAAATCTAAATTCTGTAAAGAGAAGGTGATGTCTACAGTTAAATGTAAAAATAAACTCATGGTTCTTTCAAGGATGAAGATACACATACTAGAAAGGCAATATGGTGTAAATCAAAGTTTGGGTGTAGAAGAAAGTGAAAGTGTAGAGGGATGAAGAAGATGTGCTAGATAAAAATTTCATCTGTAAATATTAGTAGAAAGATAGTTAATGTAAATAGTTGTGTAAAGAATGTTTTTTTAGAGAAATAGAAATACTAAGTAAAGTTTGTTTAAACAGGCAAAAAGTCAGGCTATCAGTAAATCTAATAGGCCTAATAGCATCAATATCTTGCATTTTAATATTCAGGGGTTATTAAATAATTATGTATATTTAATTGTATTTCTTGAAAGTAAAAAAGAGAAAGTTAATATTATTTCTTTAAATGAAACCTGGTTTAATGTCAATACAATCCAGTGTTGTACAATCCAGCCTAAAATTCTCATGCTTAATTTTAGTTAAGCTTGAGATTACTGTACTTGAATGAATCGACAGGCACTACAATGTCTGATTTTTAATGTCTTATTTAAGTGGTTAAATGTATTATAGTTAAAAAAAAGAATCAAAGTAATTTTTAATAGTCCTTAAAAATATTTTAAACAAATAAGTTTACAAAAATAGTCTTGAGAGAAGAAATATACCTAACTGTTTTAAATTACTGGTTAAGTTAACCTATCTTTTTCTTTCAAACAGTTATGAACATTTTTATTTTATTGGACAAAGTGTTAAAAATCGATTGAAGTGTGAAAATTGAAAACTGCAAACCTGTTAAAGGACTAGTAGTAGTAACTATTCTAAATTCTAACACAGGCAAGAAATATAAGGATATAAGCTAACTACAAGCATATTAGTTAGGGGACTTACCATTGCACTTGACATAAATAATAGTTTATATAAAAGAGCTTTTTTGAAAATAACAATTTAAAAGATCAGCATAAACAAAACTGCATTACATGCTAGAGATAACCACGCTATTGCCAAGGTATAACTCACAATTTGATTAACATCAACATCTCAGCCTAGGTCAAAGGCCTACACTCTTATCACTGATAAGACGGTTTCCTTATTATCCTAGTTGTTGCACTTTGCACTTGAAGTTTCCTTAATAATTATTTCAGCTGCTATTATTATTATTCAAAACGGACAAGCAGGCATTTTTATTTTACATATCACAGAGCAGTGGGGGATCTTGAACAGTCACAAGGGAGGCTGAGGGGTACGGGGGGTACCGAACAATTTGTGTAAACTAATAAGTCTCCAAAATGGCAGTTTTATACTGTTTCTTTGTCCAAAGTTAGTGTGACAAATTATTTTACGCAATGCGTATGCACTACTGTATTACATGCAGTTAAAAATATATGTATATGTATGCCCGAGGATGGGGGAGGTCGCCCCCTCTTTGGATCCGCCACTGTCACAGTTTTATTTTAAATTTTAATTGTTTAGCCTATAAAATATGTGTCAAACGAAAAGTACAATTAATACTGGGGACAAAGTATTTGCGAAAATAAAAGGATATCCACATTGGCCAGCTACTGTAACAGCAATAGATTTATCTAAGAAAATAATTAAATACACCGTTCAATTTTATGTCACTAATGAAATTGGTGTGGTAAAGGATGTTTATATTTGTGCTTATAAAGAGAATAAATCCCTTTATGGAAAATGAAAGGTAAAAAATCAGAAATTTTATCAGAGAAGCTGACAAAAGTTTCAACTCTAGCTTTAAATCCTTAAATGATGATAAGCAGGAATCCAGCAATATTGGTTGTACTCTGAACAACAATTTGACAGTCTCTGATGAACCATTGGCAATTAGTAGCTCACTCTCAAGCCCATTAACCATAACATATTGCACAGACATGAATTCTACAAATACAGAAACACAAATTTTATGTAGTAAAGCTGACTTGAGTAAATATGAAAATACAGTATTGTCAGCATCCTTGGGCCCAATTGGATTACAGATAACACAATCTGGAAATATAACGAAGTGTTAAATAATAACCTTTTAAATGGCAAGGGGATTATATGCTTAGATCCTACTGTTAGTCAAGCAATAAAACTGCTACAAGACTATAATTTTATACTTAATAATTTAAATGTAAAGGCAGCAAGGTATTTATTTTTGCCTGTTAATGACAGCGATGATCTTCAAGCAGTGGAATCTGTAATGAATCTAGACAATGAAGTTAAAGGAGTAGGTTTTCATTGGAGTTTGCTGGTGTATGATTCATCACAAGCAACATTTTTTCACTATACGACTCCTTAAAACAGTAGCCAGTAATATTGGAACAGCGAAAAAACTTGCTGAAAAAATTGTCTACTGTATTTCTTAAATGAGGACAAACTTGGAGTTTCAAAATTTACCTGTGTTACTCATTCACCACAGCAGGAGAATACTTATGACTGTGGAGTTTTCACTATTGCTGTCACTGAAATAATTTTGACCTACATACTTCAACAACTCTCAAACACCAATATCTATTTGAAAAATCTTATCTTCCCTCCTTTGAACTTTGAAAAACATTATAAAAATATTTTGTGCATTTGGATTTATACAATTAAGCACATTTGTCCAATCATAAGTACCAAGCTTATCCACAAACACACCCACCGAATCTTTTGGCAAAATTACTTAAACTTTACAAAAGGAGTTCAAAGCAGCATATTGATTAACACAATTTTTACCAAATTCAAAGTTATATTTAATAGAAGACCATTGTGGTCGGAGAAAAGGAAATCATAAACTTTACAGCTTATGTTTGAATTTTTATTACAGTTGGTTAATACGTTGTCCAGGCAATTGTTGCCTCAAGTGGGGTAGTGATTTAGGAAGTGAAAATTGTGCTGGCGGAGTATATTAAGAAATTGTTTAGAGCAGTAGTTGTTCTGTGTCAAGTCAACATATTAAAATCTCTTCCAATAATTGAAACATAATTAGTTCAACAAGAAAGATGAGTTAATAACTTATCAAAATTTTCAAGAAAAACCACAGGGTTGCCTGAAGGTGAGTGGTAGACTGAAACAAAATTTAATTTAAAATCCTCGATAAACACTGCTACTGCTTCTAAACTTATTTCAGAACAAAACTGGTCCAAATCACATATGTTAACCTGTAAAAAAATGTTAGTGAAAATTAAAGAGCACCCTTTATATGATCAGTTCTGCAGAAAACACTACTACAACAGAAACCATCAGGATATGCCAGGGCAACTTCTCCTATTCTTAACCAATGTTCAGTTAGACCGATTGCAGAAATATTATTACTGAGTAAAAATGACTTTAAAATTGATATTTTTACTTACGCTTTTTCAATGTCAAGAAATAAAACACAGCAATCATCTTTTCTAATTTTACATAAGTAGAGAATATAATTCAATATTTTAGCGTTTATGTGGGTACCTCGCAGAGAAGTGAACCCAGTTTGAAAGTTATTAAATCTTATGTATTCTTTTAGCATTGTATCTATAATCTTTTCAAAATTCCTTCTCAATAATGAGCAAATAGAAATTGGAAGCCAATTTTTTACATCAATTCCTCCTTTGTTTAATAGTTGTCCTTGGATTTTTAAATGATTCTGGGATTGTATTATTTTTGTGCATCTTATTGAATATGTGCATTAAGATTTTTTTGTACTATCATTTTTGACACATCTCAGAATTACGTGATCTGGACCTGGACGTGTATCACGTTTAATTTTATGTGTTTACATTTATCCCCTCTATATGGGACCCAAAATGTATAATAGGCTACTTTCAACGATAAAAGAAATTGATTGCATATCGAAACAAAAAATAAAAAAAAAAACACTTAAGAAATATATGATTTCTGGAGAAGGCATTTTATTCACTGAAAGATTTCCTAACGAATGTATGATTATTTTTAAGTATTCAATATTTTGGTTGTTGTTTGTTTGTTACAATAGATTTTATTTTTAAGACAAACACCTGTCAAACATTGATGTAACGTGATGATAACAAATAACTAAAAATAAATAAATAGAAGCTTTTCTAAAGTGATAAAACAGGTTCCTCTTTAATATTTGAAGGAGATCCCAATAAAATATCCTCACCACAAGTTCTGTGTGCCACCTATATGTTGCCGTTTTTTACCCCCCAGACAGTCAAACATAACTTGAGAGAAATCTTTTGGAGATTTCATTTTATAGTTAGCGCAGGGATGCCAGACTCTTGCTTTAGATCTCTTTGTCTCAAACGTCCAACAACTGTTTTGAGTGTTTTGACAACTAGCTCTAGGCTTTTCTGTCTGTAATATAAAAGACTGTATCATGGGAATAAACCCAATTGATAAAAATCTATTTTTATATTTTAAAGCTTTTCTCAGAGTCTAAGAACTTTGTATGGAACGTACCTAGTAAATTATGGCATTTTATTATACAAAAATCCATTAATATCAAAACAATGGATCAATTTTAATTACATGTCATTCGAATTCCATGACAACCCTTAGAGAATAAAGAGTACAGTAGAAAAAATCATACAAATTGCTTATAAAGTTTATTCTACAAAAACATTCAAAGTATTAAACAAACATTACATTGAAACAAGAATATTAACTACGAAACAACTATAAAACTTTAAGGGTGGAGGGTTTTATGCAATTTTCATTCTTACATGATTGTCAGAGAGTTGTTTGTTACAATATGTGATGTGGAAAGCAAAAAGGGACCTCTTGTAGGCGATGCAAAATTTCCAGCAAGTTACAGCCGATATAGCAATTAAGGTCAAAAATATCAAAATTTGGTTTTTTATCGATTGTTATACCTCCTTTAAATAGAAAAGGATAGTATCGGTAAAAATATCGAACTAAAGATGTAAAAGGTCAAAATAAATCATTTTGTTAGCCTCTGCACGGTCTGAGAAAAGGTACCTCTTGTCGCTTAATGTTATTTTGCCATAACGACAAGAGGTCCCATTTCTAATATTCACTTTATAAACAGACTTTAGTCCAAAAAATGAATTTTCCTGCATTCTAGTAGAAATTAGAAAACTGCAACAAAGTTCAGTTTACGGAGAACAAAAACACTCAAAAATTTTGCGGTCCTGACAAGAGGTACCTTTTCCTATCTTACGGAGAAATAACATAGGGCCGACAAAAGGTCCCTTTTCTGAAATATGATTTTTACGACGTGCTTCGATAAAACAATTATTAAAATGAAAATTACTGTGAGTTAAGACAAAAATTGGTATTGCCTCCAAAGAGGACATTAAGCTTTCTTTTGATACCAAAATCGTTTCTTAAATACCAGAAACACTTTTTATGCGTTTTTATGTGTATTTGAAATTTTCAAAATAGTTGTTTTTTTTCAAAATTACCCTTTTCCATAACAAAATGTCAAAGTCTTATAACTTTAGCAAAATCATAGATGCATGGGACTTGTACCAAGTGATTTGGAATTGAATAAGCAATTCAAATATATATATACCTATAACTCAAAATTAATTATAATTCCTGACAAGAGGTCTCTATTCGCTTTCCACATCACATAGGGACACAATATACAGAATATATATGGAACGATATACAGCATACAATTTGATTTTAAATTTAGAAAAACCGGTAGAATTGTACAGTAAATTATTAACAAACAACAATTACAAAGTTATTGGGAAAAAAGCAAATGAGCAGCTTAGTGAAGTAATATTATGTTTCATTGCTACCAGAAGTAATTTTTAGAATTACTAATAGTGGCATTTTAAGGTGCGCGCTCAAGTTTCATGTGGCAGGCAAAGTCAATTTTTCTAATTAATTTAAATTTTATAATGAACATAGATATACTGTATATACAATACAATTAATTTGGGATTTCGCTGCAAATTTGTAAAACACATTTGTTCAAATGTATTTTCTACATAATTGTTAAAAAGAAAAAAAGCTTGTGTGACAAAATTAATTTGTTCAATTTAAGTCTGGTCCATCCACCCTTCAATTACATAAAAATTGCATATAAACTTAAAACTCAACAATTAAGCGTAAGTACCATATAATTTACTAACAGTCTTTTTAATTGACTTATTATTGTCTTTACTGGTATGGTACCACAGACTAGATATTAACATTTAACTGCTAAAACAAATCTACTACTACTACAAAAGCTAAAATATCATGGTCAACAATATGAAAAGAGGAAATTTAAATCTAAAAGGTCAGTGTTTCTGCAATGCAATTCCTAATAATGTGAAAAAAATGAATTGCACATTTCAACGTCAAAAGGATGAATACTTTAAACTTTCAAGTCTATTTGGCAATAAAAGAAGAACTAATTTTGTATTTTGTTAGTCTTCATCATCTGTCAGCTCAGGGTACATCATATCATGTGTCTGGCGCTCCTCGTCAGTAACGTGCTCGTCTAACCTTGTGATGAATCTTATCACCCTATAATAGAAAACATGCAATTTGAGAGAGTTTTGTTCTAATCAACCATTTTACCTTGGAAGACTACTAGGAATTTACTACTGTTTGAAACCATGTGTTTTCCTTGTAAAAGATTATTTCATAACAAGTTGTATAGGATGCAAATTATAAAACGTAGAACTAACATTTACATCACCATAGGCGATCATGTAATATTGACAGGTTATTGGGAAAATCTGATGGTTCATATACAGAGGAACAATTAGACTTGCAATTGACCTTTGATGAATGGTTATTAACACTACACAAACTAAAAACTTTAGTTAACTGTGTAATTTCATTGATCTCTTTTTTAATCTCTTGGATTATTGTTTCAAAAAAATCGGATTGGAGTGATTTATAAAATTTCTTACTTATAGCGTGATTGTTGCTAGTAAACAATGGAATTTACTCTTTGAGAACAATCTCGAGAAGACATCACTATGCCAAAGTCACATCAATACTTATTACTATACTAACATTTGGGATTTTTAGCAAACTTCTAATCAACTTTCATTGCTGATTTGTGCTGTCTTCTAAAGACGTTGGAGTACTACTAGAGTACAAGTCATATGGCCAAGCTAGTAGCAACAGCAGTGATAGGCCTAAGGCTATGATCACATTGCTCGCACGTTCACGTGAGCATTAAGTGACGCAAACTCGCATGAGATGCACATTACCTTCAATGTACACATTACTTGCAAGTACTCTCATATTGCTGCAGCCAGTGGCTGATGCAAAAGACAGAGTCATGTGATGATTAACTTTTTGTGATGGAAAGTAATGTTTTAATTCTAAGAATTATAATTTTAGTAAGTCTCTGTTTCCAATGTTTCTTGTCACTTGCATCCCATATTGGTGTTTTAGTCCGATATTGGTGTCGGACCAGTTCAATTAAAAGTCATCCATTTGACGAGAAAGCTAAACAAGAGATGAAAAAACTACAGACTGCTTGCACATACTCACTTTTTTGTCTGGACTATTTGTTTACTTCTGCACGCTTGAGCTCGCGGAACTACTATACAAGCGTGCAAGCAATGTGATCACAGTCTAAGATAACATGCATGAGGCCTGTATTGTTCCCTTAACAGCCTAAGACGCTACCTCTGAGTACAGTGTTTAGCCCTTTATACATGTTCATTGAAGTACCTTTGGATATGAATACATTCAATATTTTGTATGAGTTCCTTAAACAATACGTACCTCGGCGTTGACGAATTCTCTAGCCGGGTTAGTGCTCTTATACCGTCTTCTGTTTTCAAGTAGTTTCTAAAATTGTCTAGACCTTTTTTGGTCTCGTGGATAGCTTGGAGGCGATATTCCTCAACGGTCAAATGACGGAGAGGTTTTGGTGGCTGGTTACGACGATACAACATCTTAACTCCTCTTTTGAAGAACTCTATTGATATTACCAAAACTCTAGTCCAGAAAAATGTGACTGTCCTGGCCACATTAAAACTGAAAACAAGTAAGATTGCTTAGCAAGATATTTAAAAAATGAAACCCCCCTCAGACAATACGCCACAAATATAGTTTCCACACACGTTCATACGCCTCTAGACTGCAGAGAGCGCCGCGGGGACAATAACGAATACAAACTAACTAGTACCTACAAATATTATAATTGAAGACAAATATACCACTGTACCTGTAAGTGTTTAGGCTAGGCTATATAGTTCAAAATTACACTTTTTTTGAAAACCCAAATCCTTTCTGGTAATAAAAAAACTAAATTTAGTAAAATCGTAAAAATATGAAATATCGAGATCAATATTTTTGTAAATAACTTGCAATGTAAACATTTTAGTGACAGTTTGAAACCAGCTGTTAGATAACCAAGTTATATTGAAACAAACTTAAAATGATAGCGTCGTCTGCTAAACAAATCAAATTATGCTTTCGACATTCTCTCCCTTTAAAAAATATCTTTCTTTCAACACAAAAACCATGAAAATCTGTCAAGTGGTTGATTCAGAATCTTGAAATAGAAAAACCCTCTCACATTTTAATACAGTAGACTCCCTCTTATCCGGACTCCTCGGGACCGAGGCCACTTTTAGTGAAAATGCTATGAACGAATATGTGAAGTTGACAAAAGTCAATTATGTTTGGATAATTGTAATCTTAATGATAGTTACAACCATTTTTTTAGGTATTTTTATTTTATAGGGCAGTTGAATCATTATTTCCCACTAAAGGCTGTAAAAAAGAAATCTAAGATAAAAACTGTTATATTGGATTGGGTAACAACAGGTATCAAGGTTTCTAGCAAAAGAAAGCGTGAGTTGCATTGGCAAGCCAAAACCAGTACAGACTCAATTTTTCTTAACTATGTAAAATCGTATAAAAAGATATTTCGTTAAGTTGTAAACAGTTCTAAAAAAAGGTCTAACAGCAAATATATAAATAATGCATTAAATAAACCAAAAGCTATGTGGAAAGTTGTAAATAACGAATTAGGCATTGAAAAAGAGGATAGTTGTGGCAATCATATTTCATTAAAAGTCTCTAATAATGAATTAATTGAAGACCAAAATGTTGTTGCCAAAACTTCCAAATATGAAAATATCTCTGAATATAAAGGGGTGTTCACTGTACAACTTTCAACCAACCAACAAAAATAAAATTTAAAAAATAATATTTTCTTTGAAAAATAAGACATCGGTGGGTTGGGATGAAGTTCCCATTTCACTCATCAAAGCAGTAGCAAATAAAATTGCTGAACCCCTCTCAGATATAATTAATAAATGTTTTGAATGTATTATTTTCCCAGAAAAATTGAAATACTCTCATATTACTCCGATATACAAAAAAGGGGCTAGAACCGATATAAATAACCCGCCCAATATCTGTTTTAAGTAATTTTTCAAAGATATTTGAAAAAGTTATCAATTTCCTGCTAGTAAACTATTTTAACAGCAATGATTTGTTTTTATGAAACAGTTTGAGTTTAGAAAGACATTCAGCACTAACAGTGCACTGATTGAATTAATCAATGATGTTACAGGGGCTTTGGACAGGTCTGAAACTACTGCTGGTGTTTTTCGTGACCTGTCTAAAGCCTTTAATTGTGTGGATCATTCAATTCTGCATTCTAAATTAAAAGACTACGGTATTAAGGGTAAAAGTTTTTCTTTATTAGACTCTTATTTATAGAACAGAAAGTATAGAACAATAGTGACCAAAAACGGTGTGAAACATATGTCAAACTGGAATTTATCTAATTATGGTGTAACTCAAGGGTCAATATTGGGCCCTCTGTTTTTCCTGATCTTTATTAATGACCTTCCAAAAGCTATTGGTAGAGATTTAATCTTATTTGCTGATGATACAACAGCAATCATAAGAGAGGATTCAGTAAATAACTTAATTGTATCAATGGAAAACACTTTGGATTGTATGAAAAATTGGTTTTCAGATAATGGTTTAAAGCTGAATATTGACAAAACTCATATAATTAAATTTTCTTTAAAAAACAGTGAATGTTTTTAGGAAAAAGCATTTAGCTTGGATTAAATAAATAAATATAGGATGGAGAGGACACAGCTAACTCACCTGATGAAAGGTTACAGATGAGTCAAAGAACACATAAAATCACACACATAATTTACTTAATATTTCGCCTCTTTCAGAGGCTTCTTCAGAAGTAGGCCTAGATGGTAGTTACAAAACAACAGTTTAAATAGGATGACACAGTTTGAATTCAAAATGTCTGACAGGTTGTCCAACTGACACTGCACAAAGCACTAAATACAGGCACATTGCAATATTGTATTTACATATATAATATGTACATTGAAAAGCAAATTAGTTTTGTCCATGAAAATAAATACTTAAGAGTTAGCTGTGAGGGTGAGGATATGAGGATATTATCTAATGTTGAGGTTAGGTGGGGTTCTGGAGTTGGTCACAAACTGGTAAGCTAATTCCCATCTTCTGAGCATTGAACTATTGCATTGGTTCTTTGGCAATGATTTTAGAGCTTTTATGGTGAAACAGTCATCAAATAGAAGTTGGTGGGATAAGGCATGTTGTGCAACTGGTTTTTCTTTGCTAGTTTTAACATCATGTCGATGGCCGTTCATGCGTTTTCGGAGAGTCTCGGTTGTTAGGCCTATGTACTGGGCTGGACAATGTGAAAATTGAAGCTGGTAGATAAGGTTCTCTGAGCTGCAGGTATGATGGCCTTGGATTCTGTAATTTTTATTATGGTATGTGCTGGTAAAAGTTTCTGTAGGATGGTGTATCTGGCAAGATTTACACCGGTTTTCATTGCATGGGTATGAGCCCGGTCTTGGTTTCTCAGATGGTATTTTTGATGGATTTGGGAGTTTTGGGTGGACTAGCATATTCCTCAAATTTGGGGGTTGCCTATAGATTATGGAAGGGGCTCTTGAAAGGAGGTTTTTGGTTTGGCTGGAGGACTCTAGGATTTTGAAACCTGTTTTAAGGAGGTTGCTTAGTTGTTGCAGGCCAGGGTGGTAAGTGGTTATCAAATTTACTTGAAGATGGTTGGTATTTTTCTTTGTAGTTGGACGTGGATTCTGAGCCGCTTGGATCTGAGATTTTACTAGAGTGCTAGGATAGCCTCGGTTTTCGAAGGCTTTTTGAAGTTGGGTTTGGTATTGTGTACGGTCTTTCGGTTCTGAAATTAGGCGATTTCCCCTTAGGGCAAGACTGTAAGGAAGTGATCTCTTGGTGTTATTCGGATGACAACTAGAAAAATGGAGGTATTGTTGGTGGTTGGTCGGTTTTATGTGGATAGATGTGGTGAGGTTATTGTTCCTTAGATGAATTGTAAGGTCTAAAAAGTTGATGGAAGTCTCAGAGCTGCAACCTTTAAAAAACAGTGTAATTCTTGATAAAATTCCAAATTTAGTAGAATCTCATAGATTTTGGGGTGTATTGTTTGATACTCATATTAATTGGAAGATTCACATAGATAAGATGAAAGGCAAACTAAGATATATTTCTTTTGCTTTCTTTCACCTGATAAACTGTGTACCCCAGGATACATGTATCACAGTTTACTATGGATACGTTGAATCCATCTTGAGGTATGGAATCATACTGTGGGGGGTGTCAACAGAAGTCAAATCCCTACTAATTTTACAGAAAAAAAAATTATTAGAATCTTAACCAAATCAAGAAGGAGAAAATCATGTAAAAACCTGTTTAAAAATCTTCGAATTCACACCATTTTTGGATTATACATAAATGAAATTCTAAATTAGATATATAACACTAAGGAAAATTTGTCAGATGTAGTCAAATTTACACATAATTATAATACAAGGAATAAATATAATTTCAGATTACCACATCACAAATTGACGACTTTTAGGAACAGCCCTCAATATATGGGACTTAGATTGTACAATGAATTACCCCTGTATCTTAAAAAGTAAAATGCTACTCAATTCAAAGATAAAATAATTGATAAAGCCTACTATTCACTTGGCGAATTTTTGGAGAACCCTATAGTGTAGATAAAAATTCTCTGATATCCTACATCAGTGGTCACCAATTAAATGCAATGGAGGTCCATCCCAAGTTTCTATAAGACTGTCACGGTCCGCACAAGGATCCGGGGGGTCTGGAATACCCCCCAGCCAAGAGGGGGGTCCGGGAAAAATTTCAAAATTTCAGTTAAAATGGTGTGATTTAAGCCTATTTGCGCATGCTATTTGTAAAATCTTTTTGTTGCCTAAATACCATATAAAAGTTTGAATTTATTAGAAAATAGCCTATTGTTTAGGTTTGGAAAAAAATCACAAATTAAAAATTGTCTCATCAAATTTAATTTCACTTAGAAATTACATAAGGATACATAAAGTACAAAAAAATACATAAAATACATAAAGATTACTCACATATGAGTATTCAAACTTAGTGAGAGAAATGACATTTTTTATTCTGGGCCACTTCTTTAAAGTTTGGAATGAGTCCTGTGCAGCTGATTCTCATCAGGTTGTTGAGGTGGCTGTCACTGAGGCGAGATCTGTATTTATTTTTGATAAAGTTCATCCTTGAAAATGCAGACTCACATGTGTACGTTGATCCAAACATTGTACAAAGTTTGATGGCCAAGTTTTTCAGTTCAGGATATTTTTCACTGCTCACATACGGTACTTGATCCAAAATAGCTCACACGAAAGTTCTTTCGGGACTTGTCTAAATTTGTCCTTCAGAGCAATGTCTTCCTGGAAATCTATTATTTCCATTTGCAGGGCTGCTTTATTACAATTTAAAACTACTGCTGCTTCATTGGTCCACTCTCCATTAGGCTTTAGAGAAAAACAGTTATTTAGGACTTGAACCACATTCCCTATTTTGTCAAAGTCACTAAATCGAGCTTTGAACTCAGATTTGAGGTCGTTTAAAAAGTTTACAAACAGTTTCATGTCAATAACGTCGTCGGTTTCACAAACTGAGTTCAGGCTAGGAAAGTGCACACGTTCGTTACTGATATCTTCACACCAAAGAACAACCTTTCTCGTAAAGCTTCTAATTTCTGAGAGAAGTTCACACACAAGAAGTCCTTTCCCTTGAATCTTTAAGTTTAACATATTGAAATGTCTGAAGACATCTGTCAGGAAAGCTATTTTTGGGATAGTGTCTTCTGTATCAAGCAGAAAGCCCAAGTGTTCATTTGCAACTTCTTCACTACACTCTGAAAGAAATACTTTTATGTCCTCCATAACAGCAAAAAACCGTTGAAGTACAAATCCTTTGCTCAGCCACCTTACGTTGTTGTGAAGTAATAAATCGTCAAACTGTGCTTCAGTTTCCTCAAGAAGTGATTTGAATTGACGGTGCCTAAGTGAAGACTTTGATCGTATGAAGTTAATGATCTTAACTACAGTTTGCATTGTACCTTCAAGAGCAGGATTCAGTTTGCAACACAACACACTTTGATGGATAATACAGTGGTAGGCTAGCAAACTTTCATTAAATTTAGGGTCTGTTTTCATTCGACTTACCAAGCCTTTGTTTTTTCCTGTCATCGCACGAGCACCATCTGTCGTTACTGATATAATTTTTTTCAAATCCAAGTCAGCTTTCTCAAAATAGTCCATTAAAACATTGTACAAGTCCTCTACACGTGTTTGCCTTGATATTGGCAATATAGTTAACAATTCTTCCACAAACTGTTCTTTTTTAATGTCCAAAAACCTCACAAAAACAATCAATTGAGCTGTATCGGTAATGTCACATGATTCGTCTAACGCTAAAGCGTATCTGTCTGTAGCTGCTAGAATCTGTTTCAAGCTTTTAGAACTTTCTTCTGCTAAAACTTCAGTGTTTCGTGTGCTGGTAGATGCAGAAAGCGGCATGCGTCGAATAGTGTCAACAACGTCTTGTTTATTCTCAAATAACACGTTTCCTGCCTCAATCATGCATTCTTTGACTATATCTGCATCAGTAAACGGTTTCATATGTTTAGCGAGAGTCCACGAAATACGCAAAGAAGCCTCTGCACATCTTTCTTGGGCAGTCATTGTTCGATTTAATATCTGGGTACTAGCTAAGTAGTTCAAACGTAAACTCTCAATCTTAGACTTGCGAAGATCACTTCCTGTTGGGTATTTTGTATCAAACGGCTTGTGTTTAGTCTCAAAGTGTCGTTTAACGTTTGAACTCTTGACAACAGATACAGTTTGTTGACATATCAAACACACAGGCACAGCTCCACTTTTGTTTGGAAGTATAAACAAATACTGGTCCGTCCACTCTGGTAAAAACTGCCTATTTTCACTGTCTACTTTCCGCTTTTTGCTATCCATTGTAAGTAATTCGCACTACACTTTTTGCATAACTAACACACGGCAGGATGAATAATCAGTGAGAGAACTAAACACCACATTAGTAAACAAACAGACGACGTGACATCGACAGTGCTGACTACAACAGCTGAGCTAGTGCGGGCGGCCTGGCGATGACGACGTGACGTAGCCACTGGGTGGGCGAGTTCAATTAGCGATGGAGGGGAGGAAGCGTGAAGAAAAAGCCGGTGCATAGCATCGCTTATAACGGTTTTTATCTAGCGCGGAGCACGGCGAATTAACTATGAATTAACTATGTTTCGATAAAAATAGTTTTCTCGTATAAAATATTTTAATCTTAAATGGTTGGTACCGATATATCTTTAGGTTCAAATAAAGTTTAAATTCACTAAAAGATAAAAATACATAAAAAACACAGTTTGTGAATTCGAACTAACGGTCCGTAAAAAATCAGGCGGCGGTCCGGATCCGGACCGCGGTCCGCCATTTGGGGACCACTGTCCTACATGAGTTTATTTTAATTATTTTAACTATTAATTTTACTATAAAATACATCACTATGACGAAACACCTGTTCTTATGTATGAAATGTACTTAATAAAGAATGTTTTGTGTCAATAAAATATGAAAGATGAAAAAAAATGAAAATATTTATAGGGATCGCAAGAAGCACATCATCATATGGGTGGATGCATATGTGTTATGTCGGCAATACCTGTGAGGATATCTTGCGGTTTCGGCGACACCCATAGTTGTTTTCCACGATCGCGGCAATACCCGTGAGCATATTTTGCGGTTTCGTGACATTGATAATTGTCTCCAATGATCGTGGCAACACCGGTAGTGTTTTGGTTAACCGACATTTCCGATGACTGGGCTCCGGATTCCTGGAGATTTAAGGTTATTCCTGGAGTTTTCCAGGATATTTCAAGGTAAGATAAAATTCCTGGAGGTTTCCCGGTTTTCCCAAATTTCCCGGAGAGTAGACACCATGTCGTAATTTCAAACACATCATCAAGGATCCATACTTGGCCAAGGGCTCTGGAACGTCGCCTACAACAGCCTCCTAAGTCTGAGATGTCTGAGGAAACCGTTTTAGTTGGGTACACAGATGATGTTACGGCTTTGATAGCTGTGTAGGGTAACATTTTTATTGGCTATTTTTTATGTCTCTTTGACCTTGATTGTCTTCCAATAACCATAGTCTACAAATTAACTGATATGAAGGTTTAGCCTAATAGTAGCTTAAGAGTATAAATTTATCAATAAAATTTTAAAAAAAACGAAAACTAAATGATAGAATGTCAAATTGTCTACTATCAGTTATCACAGAAGTACGGTAACCGACAAAATATAATCAAAAAATTTTAAACCACATACTGAAGTATGAAAGAACTAACCTTGTTTGTATGATGGGCACATAGTAGCACACTGTGAGAACCACAATTAGGATAAACATATAACCTATATTGTGGGAACTATTGTACATCAACACTGCAGCGACAACCTGTAAACATTTGAAGGGATAAAACATGATACCAACATAAAACTAAAAACAAAACCAAATATGTCCACCTTGTTTTCATTTTAATTTTATAATTGGTAAAATCCTAAAACCCTAAAGATCTTAATTTTAAAAAAATACCCCCGCCGCAGCAAACCTGCTGAGTGCTGACTAAGCGAATTTCCATTTGTCTTAATTGATTTTCAATTAAATATATTTTAATAACATTAGGTTTGACGAGTACGAGTTTGACGAGTTTGCTGCTACAAGGAAGCTAATAAAGTGTGTTTTTTTGTAAAATATTGATAGCTTAGTACAAAATTAATAAATTTGATCAAAATACAAAATATATCCATACACAAGCAAACTACAACATTTGACAATATTCTCCATAAGAGTAACATGGGAATTTTAAATTTACAATTTTTTAAATTTTCTCCGTTACTATTAACCGAACAAAAATACTTTTATATACTAAATTAATTGTTTTTTAAGCTCTTTAAAAAGGTCTAAAGAGAAATTGGGAAATTTTGTGTTTTGAGGGTCAAAAGTGAGAAAAGCCAATTTTTACCCCATAAAACCCCCCGTAAAGCCCTGTTTCCATGGTCCGATCATGCTGGTTCGCGAACTCATTCAAGTTTATCCCGCTTTACACCTTTAAACGTAATTTCATCTAAATCGGACAAAAATTACTCAAGTTATCGCGTTCACGGACGTATATATACAGACTGTCCCAAAAGTTTAATATTTTCAAAACGACAACAGATAAATCAATAAGATTTGGTACATCAACACCACACCTAAAAATCTACTTTTTTAAGGAAATATCAGTTTTCTGTCATATCATGGGGACGTCCCGCAAGGAGTCAGAAGAAAATGTTAAACAGAAGCATAGGTTGACATGTACATCAAATTAAAGGTCTTTACTAGCAGAATATAATGCCGCAAATTTGAACTCAAACGGACAACCGAGCCAATAATGACAGTGGTTCGAAGATTAATTTAATTTGCATTGCTGTTATACGCTTACTCCTCAGGGGGCACAGCCCTAGGAATCGAAAGCAAATTTTTAACGTAAGCATAGGTCGATATGCACATCAAATTAAAGGTCTTCACTAGTAGATTACAAAACCGTAAATTCAAGCTCAAAAGGAAGCCTGAGTAAAAAATGGCAGTCATTCAAAGATTCAAAATGGCAGATTCAAGAAATCTTTGAACGGCTGCCATTTTGTAACGGATGATCCTTTTAAGGCGCAGTTTCCGGCATTGAACTCTACTAGCTAAGCCCTTTAAACCGATGTGCATATTGACCTATGCTCCTATTTAAGATTTCCTTCTGACTCCTTGTGGGGCGTCCCTATGATATGACAGAAAATTTTTAGTTCCTTAAAAAAGTAGATTTTTAGGTGTGGTGTTGATGTACCAAATCTTATTGATTTATCTGTTGTCGTTTAGAAAATATTAAACCGGTCCGGGACTTTTGGGACAGTCTGTATATATATATAAGTCTATACATATATAAAAATTTGAATGAATGGTGTTTTTGGCCTCTGGGGACATCAAAATGAAAAAGTAAATCGGTCCCGGGTCTAGGTCTTACCGTGCCACCTACGGTAATAGCTACTTCCCTATAGGGAAATTCGCTAAAAAAAGATCATGAGGAGGTAAAGCATTAACAATGGATTTTCCTTTATTAGTCATAAGTGTCAAGTAAAAAAAATATAGTTAAAAGTTAAAATATAAATAGGGATGTGTGAGTTTGAGATCTTGAATCGAGCAGAGCTAGAGTCAAGCTTTTTCCAAAAACTCGAGCCTCAACCTTTTTTATATAATGAATTTGACACAGGGTGGCCGGAGAACTCCTGTAAAGTATTCACATTTTCCTGGATTCCCGACAGCAAAACCTGGTATTCCCGGTCGTGATTTCTGGTCACTAAGTGGGCCTGTTTACTAGAGGTCTGCGGGTTCTCGATATATTTGGGTCTGGTCGGGCCAGTTAGCCCGAGGGATTAGTTCAAGCTGAAAATGATTATAGGGCAAAGTTCATATCGAGTTGAGCCGAGTGTATATTTCCGCAATCTCTGAAAGCGTTAGGGAAAGATGCAGGATAAAAATGTATGATGTTATGGTTTTTCCGCGATTGTGTGCAACGATGATGTTGCCGTGACCGCACCACATATTTACAATCTTGCTGTAACCTCAGTCGATGTTCACAATTTCAACTGACAGAAGAAGATGGTCATGATTTTAACATCATGATTTTTTCAAGATTTTATTTATCTATTTCCCGCAAAATAGCCATTATGATAAATTACATGTAATTACACTATCAAATTATCTTTCACTTTCTTAACTTAGATGTTCAATACCTACCTCAAAATTACTTCAAGAGCTATCTTACTCACAACTCAAAAGTAAAACAGTTTAAATGGTTTATGTAATACAACTTTGATTCAAGTTTTGTGGGAGTCAAAATCCTTTTACATAAAGACAATGAACCCTCAATCAATTACCTGCTATGTTAGGTATTTAAAGGAGATGTTCTATCAAAATGTGTGACTAACCTGGGTAATCCATTTAAGCGTGTTAACTCTTCGGGGATTGTCTGGTGGTAGGTAGTTGTAAACGAAAAGAAAACTGGAACTAGCTGATACAATGACGTACACCTGAACGACGAATGAGTGGCGTAGAACGAATAAAGATATCGCATTCCACAACATATTGACTATATAGAGGAAGATGGTTCCACCTCCAAGAAACACTCCCACTGATGTAGCTCTCTGCAAAAAAATAACTGCAACTAAACATACAAAAAAGACAAGACTAGAAAATTCCCCCTTGAGAGAGAGTGCACTGTAACATACGGAACACACAGTATGTTTACCAATCAAACGGTGGCGTTTTGGTGGTTATGGACTACCTTTTAGTTTTAACACCTTTATTTTTATTGAGACAGTATTAAATTTTTGTGTTTTATTTTATTTTGGTTTATTTTGTGACATTAAATATAATTTGTTACATAACTATTTGTAGAAGAAAAATAAGAACCAAACTAACCTATTAAATTAATCTAGAGGTTAAAATACCTTTAATCCGTCAATGTGATCAATTGGTATTTTAACCTCTAGATTAATTTAAATTTGTGATCAGGAGGCAAAAAACAACAGGAATAACCTATTAAATCAAGAAATTAGTTTGTCAAAAAATTGTATTTTATTGTTTATAGTGATTGGCGGCCTCTTTTATCTTTGCATTTGCCCCTTCACCTAGATTACGGACCTCTGTATGGAAGTTATCCAGCAAAGCATGATATGAGCTGGAACTGTTCAAAGGTACTGTGTGTAGGTTTTGTGCTGAGTAAAAGTAATGACAGATACCAGGATAACCCACGAAATCGCTGCCTTGGGCCTGAACCTCGATCAACACTGTAGAGTAAGGAATGTATTAGACATTCACACACAGGGAGTATTTAAAACACAAGATAATGCAAAAAAACTAACCGTTTGTATAAAACTTGGACAAAAATTAACAAACTTATCAATTTACATGTCTACTGTACATTCTATGGCTTCTTACTGCACAAAATAGTTTTTTTAATGATATTCAACTGCTTAAAGTTTTTGGCAAGCACAAAAATCACAAAAGGCTCTAGATTTTACCTTAGAGAACCTGGTGTCAGCCGCTGCCGACATGTTACATCATCACGGCACGTGTCAAACTATCAAGGTTCTACCGTATCACTACCGCAGGCTATATGGAAAATTTGCTAAAACATGGGGTCCCCTATAAAAATCTTTAATATGCATAATGGAACCAATGTTATGATGTTACGAACACAAATAAATATGTTAAGGTTTGATCACTTAATAATGAAGGATAACATTTTTTTCCTAAAAATAATTATGTTACCTTCATTGGCATCAGGTTGATGAAGAAGTACAAAAGAAATGCCGAAAACAGGAAAACGCCAGCTGCGGTTGAAATTGAGTAATATACTGCGTCCTGTTTGGATAGTATCCCAGCAAACAGAAAAAGGAATAATCCAACAGAAAACATCAGTTGCCTTTGTTGGTTTACAACTGCAAAAGAAGGTAAAATGCACATATTAGCCGGAATATATTGAATAAATTGTATAATTTGACACATAACATACAGGGTTTTTGTTAGGCTACTTTACATTTAATGATATGTCATAAAAACAAATTCTCAAAACCAAGGAAAAAATCTGTTTTGAGACTCGATCAGCGAAATTTTGAGACTCAAAAGTTTTAAAAATAAAGATTTTGGCAGTTCAGTTTTTGAAACTGCTGACATTTTTGGTGTTAATTGTTTATAAAACTGTTTACACCCCAGCTGGCAGCAATGGGGCAAGCAGATAACCATTAACACTAATGAAACAAATAAATTATATTCTGAAAAACTGGAAAGCAAAATGAATTTTAAATACTAATACTGGAATGTACATAAAAGTTTCTTGAAGTTTATCAGTCACACATTTATGCTATTATGTCAGGGTCAAGAGTAAATTTCTTTCTGTTTTGATTGCAAAGTAAAAGTTTTAATATTACACCTACCTGTATTTTTTTGTAACCTTGACTAAGTAACTTAAATTTTGCGTTAGGGTTTTAAGATTCAAAATTCAATTTGTTAAATTTCGGTCATCGAGATTCAAAATTTCTGGTTTTGACCATAATTACCTTACATGTTCAAGTGATTGATACAACCAAATTCCATCTATGATATGTCATTCTTGGTCAAAAATAAAACTTGGGCCGAGCTTTTAATACTAAGTCAAATCCAAAATAACACTTAATTTGTGTCGTAATTGAAAACAAATTTATCACAAGTCTACGTTGTTCATGCATTTGTTGAGGTTTGATAAGCATGAACCTGGGTTCAGACAAGAGACAATGATTATCAATCGTAATTTTGAGGAGATACAAAAGCCTAAACTAACACCTATCGTGTTGTCTTTCTAACACAGCTGTTATTTGTAATCTACAACGCAGTGCGAGTGCGTGATTGGCTCGTCATTATGACGACACACGGTTGCCGTGACAACCTAAAGTGCGCACTGAGCACTGCACCTTGTGTCTTGTGTGGGAAGGGAGAAAGCAGTTGAAAGAAAAATAGGAAGAAAGAGAGAATGACATATTGCATCCAATGACGACTAAACAAAGTCTATGTGTCATTGTCCCTCTCAGACGCCATGCTGTCTACAAATAGAATTTAAAAAATTGTTGTTTTTATCTACGGTACTACTCTTTACAGTATAACCAGTGATTTCTCATTCTTATGCATCAGATGGAGGGAACTTATTGTTAGTTCTGTCGGGTGCACTCTAGAGGTCGTGATTTATTTAAAATTTGTTTCTTGTTATTTAATCATTTAAAAACTCGTTTAACAAAATACAGTCTAATCAACGAAATTGTTGACAATCCCAAAGAAAAGAAAATTAGACTTCTCAATATGACGAATTTTTCAGATAGGTATGTCAGAGCCTCTGCATAGCAAATTTAACCACTACTGTTTAATGAGTCTTTCCCTCGATATAACAAACCCCTGGATATTATTGAAAGATCACAGTTCCAGGGTGTCCACACAACGGGAATTCTGTGAATTGTACGGGAATTTTATGGTGGCATGAAATTTCTGGGAATTTTGTACGAGATACGGGAACTTTGGTTTTTGACGCTATTGCGTAACGCTAAGGAGGAACTATTACATTGGCAACGATATTATTCTATCTGATAAGAATAACCACGCTCGAAAGATAAAAGATTGTATAATACGTTTATATTATACCGACAATCTATTTCAGGAATTATATTTTGGGACGGATGAAAGATAAGGAAGAAACAAAAAGTGGTCATGTGTGCAAATGTAGTGGGCGACACAATAAGGCTGGAAATGAGTATCGTCGCGTTGTTGTTCCTTGATTGTTTACTTTTTTAGATTCCTTATCAAACGCCTATCCCTCCCTCTCTCTCTCTCCAGGGGCCCGCTCCAGGAATAATTTTTTGGGTAGGCATGACAAGGATCAAGAAAGAGTTTGATCGGGTGTCAAGAGGATTGAAGGGCTTTCCCGCAAAAAGGGGACAATTTTAAATTTAAATGCAAAATGATTAGTTTGCATGCTTTTCATTTATTTACATATAATTCAATTTCTTTATTTATTTATAATTTTAAAATATCTACCAAAATGTTGGGTAGGCCCGTGCCTGCCTAGCCTGCCCTCTGGAGCCACCTCTCTCTCTCTCTCTCTCTCTCTCTAACTATGTACTGAGTTAAACAGATTGTGGTTGACGATTTTTCTACTTATAAGTTTCCCTGCGGTTATTTTAATTCAATCCCATACCTTTCCTTATGGTAACCTTACAATTGTTTATCAAAATAATTAATTAATCTATTTTATATCCTTTAAATAAAATTGAATTGAATTAAACCAACCCCTATTTACCATTTGCATTTTATAGAATACAATGTGTGTTTAAAGATTTTGTTTATTAAAGACACAATTTTGACACAATAAAGGTCTCCCGCGGTCAAGGAAACATTATCATCATCCGCAACCGCGGCAAATATCCTGGCTGTTTCCTGGTTTTTTCTAGGTCCCTTTAAATTCAAGGTTTTTTCCCCGTTCTCCCGGTTGGTATACACCCTGTAATAAGCCTGCCCAATTAACAAGCTTTTGACCTTCTCTAAAAATAATGTCGGGGTTGAGGGTGTAACTTGTCACAGGATTAGGTAATTTATTATACATCTTTGTTCCTACATAGTAATATTTTGATATCACCTCTTAGTTGCAGATTGGAAGAAAAAAGTATGAGACTTACCTTGTTCATTCAATTTCAATTCATAGTCATGTTTGGAATAAATGCCAAAGCAGGTAGAGTTAAATGGGTTAAGATGTATGATTTTTGGTGGGTTCCACGATAAGAGATTCATGTTTATGTTCAACATTGAGTTCATGTACTGGAATTCATTCATGACTTCCAGCTTGTCTTTACCCCAGTATAGCCGAAACTTGTCAACGTCCAGTGAAATCCACACCTGCAAGATAGAATTAACATCTTACTGTTGGTATTTAAGAACAGTAGAGATTCAATTGTCAGATCTTCGGTACCACAAAACCGCCAATTGTCAGATCTTCGGTACCACAAAACCGCCAACTGTTACAGTGTGAAATGATTTTATCATTTTAGCGAATTTCCCATATAGGGAATGAGCTATTACCGTAGGTCTCATGGTAAGACCTGGACTCGGGACCGATTTACTTTTTCATTTTGATGGTGTTCAAAAACACCATCCGTTCAAATTCATATAAATATATATCTGTCCGTCAGCACAATAACTCGAACAAAAATTATCTGATTTTGATGAAATTTGGTATAAACGTGTAAACCTACATTTATTTGAACGAGTTCGCGAACCAGCATGATCGGACCATGGGAACAGGGGTTTATGGGGGGTTTTATGGGGTAAAAATGGGTTTTTCCCATTTTTGACCCTAAAAACATAAAATTTTGGAATTTTTTCCCCAACCATTTTGTAGAGCTTAAAAAAGTAAATAATTTAGTATATTGAAGCATTGTTGTATGCCTAATAGTTACGGAGAAAATTCAAAAAAGTTCAAATTTAAAATTCCCATGTTATTCTTATGGAGAAAATGAAAACTGTTGTGGTTTAGTTGTTTATGGATATATATTTATAAAATTTGGCAAATTTATTTATTTCATCCTATACTATTGACTTATGGTCGAAAAACGCTTTTTACCTTCCCTAAAGCAGCAAACCTAAGCACTCGTTAAATCTAATGTTATTTAAATTGAGAATAAATATGTCTTATATATGGAAATATTTTAGTAAAAATGTAATCAGACAAGTTGAAATTCGCTTAGTCTGCAGGTTTGCTGCGGCGGGGGTATTATCTAGATGGCATGACTTTACACTGTAGTAGGTTGTATCATAGCAGATGCGCAAAAACATCTCCTTTCTACCATTCCACGTTGTTTCACTCACGTGTTACCAACAGATCAGACATCCTGCAGGGATGGGCTGATAGACCTATCACATACAGTGACTATCTGGCTCACAGTGATCCCATATTTGTCAGGAACATACAGCCTAATTCTTCAAAGACTATTTCAAGATTATTTCAAAGACATTACATTACTACAACAGACATCATACTTATTACAAGCAGGGCCGGATTTAGAATTTTGGTGCCCAGAGGCCCAATAATGTTTCCGCCTCCTGATCTGGTTATTGTTACTTTACTACAAACCTTTATTAAAAACTTATATCAGGCATATACGTTAATCGCTTAAACACCACTCTACAAGAAAATTATGTTATTGCAAGTTTTTTGAAAAATTTACTTGGTTCTGTCCTTTAAAACGCTAAGCATTTTTATGTATTAAATATTTAGCTCACTTTGTAGGACTGAAACAAAGTGATTTGACCCGCGGACCGATTCTGCAGCATTTATGGCCATTGATTCCACTGTAGTCGCTTCAAATTTTTAGTCCAAAAAACGTTAACTCCGTACAGTAAGTGATACTAGAGATTAAACATACTAAATTGGCAAAATGTTTGAAATTAACCATCATTATTGAAGTCATTCATATCGAAACAGGTTGCCGCAAACAGATTTCAAAAATCTCAAATAGTTAAAAAGGTAAAGGGGGGGTGCAAGTTAATTTTCAGCCACCCTAATGGTTATTTGGATTTGATACGTTTTAGGGCGCCATTTTGTTATTAGGGGGTCGATTTTCGTTTTTTTTATGTCAATTGTTTTGTTTCGTCAAGACCTGTAAAATGATACCAAACTCGACTATACTTGCCATTTGAAAATTTTGAGCTACCGCCTACCCCTAAGGGCTAAATTTTCAAAATTTACCATGATTATTGTAGCCCCTCATATCTAAGAAGGTTGCCGCAAACCGATTTCAAATATCTCAAGTGGTTGAAAAGTTAAGGGGGGAGCGCAAGTTACTTTTCAGCCACCCTGTATTTTAACTTGATACTGCAGGTTGTAAGCTGTAAAAAGGTTGATTAATAACTTTTGTTTTGCAATGTGAGGGTGGTAACAGTGTCTCGGCAATAACATCGGCATGCGTTCTTATCCCGAATCACTCCGAGCGGTAGCGCCGAGCCAACTGGTGGCACTGGCAATATGATGAGTAACGCTCGACAACAACCCAACAGCCTTCTCTTGTTTTTAAGACCAATGTTGTAAAAGTTAAATAGTTTAACTTTAAAAAATTAATTATTTGTTCCAATGAATTTCAAAATCAGAATGCTTTGTTAGCAAGGTTTTTAAAAACCAATTTGCAGAATATATTGAGTTATGGCTATTTATTTTTATTTCTAGCTATTTTTTTATATCTCCCCTCGGCCATGCCCCCCCCCTCCCCTAGGAGCTTGCGGCTATATCCGACCCTGCTTACAATTTCAAACTCATAATACCACCCGCAGCTTCTTAGTTTTGTTATAGGCTAAGAGTATGTCTTGCGTGTGCTTTTTATGTCTTGTGATAGAATGTTATTGTTATTGACGTCACTCCTCCACATAGAGTTATAGATGAATGACAGTAATAATTGACCTAAGATGAAGAAATACCATAGAGTATTGACCCCCCTGAGACACCACCAATTTTGTTCACCTTTTTAGCAAATTAGATTGGATATTATTTTTTAACTATCTAAACTAATAAACAATAATAAGTTATGTTGTATACTTGATGACTTGAGTCGTGTCCGTCAAAGTTCGTGTTATGGCTTGCCACCCATTATTTTATATTAACTAAATGTATCTGTTTTCATGTGTATGGGTGCGTTCACAAAGAAAGCTGGTTACAAGCGCATGTTGGCAAACGCTTGCAAGCTCGAACCGGCGTAAGAAAAGTCAACATAGAATCAAGCGTGTGCGTTCACAAAGCTTGTGGCGGCAAGCGCTCGTTACAAGTTCTGACAAGCACACAAGCACATTTCGTACTTGTTTTCCGGCGCTTGTTGACCGAACCAGTCTGTTACAAACTACATACTAACAGTGTAGTATGGATGTCGATGATTTGATAGCTCAAGTATTTAGAGTTTCCAATTTCCAAAAAAATATATTACCCACGTATTGGGGTTTTCCCCTAGAATGTTCCATAACTTCCCCAATAGGACAAATATAACATATATGTATTAAGACAAACACATTTAATTTGAATTGATATTTTAATAAGTGTTGGATTTTTTTAAATGAAACTTGTATAATTTTACTTTATTTACCTATAAAATTAAAACATTTGAATATATCTTACAATATTATTTACATCATAATTAATCAGCTACATATGGGGATTAAAACTCCCATCGAGTATTTTTTAGGTTTTATTATTGGTCCAAAATTCTTTCTGGAGCATGGTTAGGTTGCTTATGCCAATTCCCCCAAACTTTACTAAAACACTTTCAATTTTCTTGAGGATGTAATTAAACATGGTTAACTTCATTCTCATATAAGAAAAAAACCTCACTTTCTCCAATTTCAATCGAAGAAATAGATTGTGGTATTCCTCAAACGTACCTCTTCCACGGTTTATTGCATGAACACCTACTTTCTTTCTACAAATTTTTAATCCTACATTTTCAATTAAAAATAACTCTTCATCACTTGAAGAAGATATTGTCTCAACCAGTACACTGAGCTTGAAGTAAAAGCGTTTGTTGTGAACACACAACAACATTGAAAGTAAGTTACTTGTAACCAGCTTTCTTTGAGAACGCACCCAATTAAATGTTATATTTTTGTGTATCCACGACGACAATGTGTAGCTAAGTTAAATTAGTGTAGTTAAGTTAGTGTAGTTTAAGTAAGTTGTAGCTAGTTGGGTTTTAGTTAATAATTTCATGTCAGGCAACAAGAGGCTTGAAAATGAAACAATCGTTTTGAAGCTAGTCGTCAGAGACTTAACTAGGATTAAAGACCTAAGGTACGAAAACCTATTTAATATTGTCTTAAATCAAATTGTGGAGGCAATGCTAAATAAATTCAAATAACTGTTCAGTCACTATTGCTAATATTATAAATTAATAGGTAGGTTATGGTTACACCTGACGTAATAATTCCAAAAACCTCAATACTGGAAGCCAATCTGGAAACATGTTGAAGCCAAAGTTATATGTCTTTAAAATAATTCTTATCTTGCTATCTATCTAAGTATTCTAACATTACCTTCGCCGACATCCAAATCTTATAAAGGGCTCGTTCATGAGCACGGTAGCAGTAGATTACTGGAGTACTTCGGTCCACTTCCTTGCTACAGCAAGTGTACTTCATGTCCGGATCCAAGAGAATATCTGAAACGGTAACCTAGAATTATTTCTTAATAAAAAAACATAATATTTGATTTGAATAACAGTTTTAGCCATATGTTGTATAGTATAAAAGTTTCATAAGATATGAACAAAATCAAAAAACCAATATCAAGGCCGTTTGGTTAGTCGGTGGTTCAGTGTAGCACGATGAACGTCGGATACGGGTATCTGCCACTATGCTTCATCAATAGCCTACACTTTACAGTAAAACTTTGGTACTGCACTGGCTCGCTTGCTTTGCTGAATTCGTTCTACGCACAGGCTAAAATCTTATGTACGGGGTCAAGATGCAAGGTCACAATTAACCGCCAACCCCTTAAAAAAATACTATTGTTATTCATTACGTATGGGTCTACTAGACAAGTGAAGTTATTATAGAATTACCAATAACAGTCTATGGCAATGGCAAAATAGACCTATTTTATGATTTAAAGTGGTGATGTGTAGACAAAAAAAAATATAAAAAGAAGGCCAGGTGCCCAACAATAACTTTAATTCAGGTTTTAAGACAAGGCCTAGCAGTAAGAATAAAACTTCAATATGGTAAAGAATCTTATGCATTATTTTTAAATTTAAGGCAATTATGTGGGAGAACGTGACCATGTGAATGTATATTGTAAGATTTATATAGAATATCATTAGAAACTAGATTTGTAGCTGAAAATAACTCAACGGGTGCAAATATTTTTCCAAGCAGAAAAATATGAACTGGACTATGATCAATTAAAGATTTGATTTCTTTTGTTTACATTCTAGTTTGCTTGCTCCATTACGGTAAACTAAACGGAAAATGAACATATAAAAACTGACGAGAACAAGAGAAAATATGATACAATAAATAAGTTAATGCAAAGGTATTCAAAGTACATGCTACGAAGAATCAAAAACATCTAAAAACAGTTAACTAAGTGCTGAATATTGCAGAGGGGAAGGCAGGTGGGGCTTTATGCGGATTCGTGGCTGTAGGCTTAAAAGTGTTTTGAAGTTAGGTTAGATTAAAATACCCCTGTTATAGCAAACCTGCAGACTAAGCATATTTCTATTTATCTGTATATAAATACTAAAATATTCCCTTAAAACTTGTCGGATGTTCTTAGGGTCAAGAATTGTAAAAACCATTCCATAAAACCCCCTATAACCCCCCGCTTATCATAGTCCGATCATGTAGGTTTACGAAGTCGTTCGAATAAAAGTTTAACTTACACGTTTGAACCATATACTGAATTACCAGTACGTTAAAATCGGAAAATTTTTACTTGAGTTATCGTGCTAACGGACACACACATATATATATGTACATATAGGTATAGGCCTAAATATATTTTAGTCCTAGGACGCTAGGCACGAGCCCGGGATTGTTTTTGACATTACTTCAGGCTAGACCTAGAGGTTGCGGCACTATCACTTAGATAGCCTAAAATTCATTAGTGATTTGGTGGGATTTGAACCCGGGACCTCAGGAACCAAAGTCCCGTGCTCTAACCACTGTGTGTGAGTGTATATATATAACTATAGGCCTAGAGGCCTATATGATATATATGAAGCTATATCCTCAAAACGAAAAAATAAATCGGTTCCGGGTCTAAGTCTTGCCATGAGACCTACGGAAATACCCTATAGCTTATTCCCAAGGTATGGGAAATGCGCTAAAAGGTAAAGTGACTGGATTTATATTTATATTAGGCTATCCAGACTGTTGAATAATATAGTAAATGAATAGAATAGAATGAATTGAAATAGGTAGTGGGTTTTAAAAACAACAAAAATCTATGGTTATTTAATAGAAATAAATTATACTTTGATCAACCTGTCCTATAAACCTTTTCAATTTTTTTTTTTTTATTTTCCAAAAATGCTTAAGTTATTTAGGCTACTAAGAAACGATATGGGCTAGTGATGCGCGATTGCGAGATGTTTGAACGGTCAAAATGTTCCTTCTCGAAATTTTCAGCTTATCGATTGTTTAGCGAGAGGTTTGTAGGCTACAATCGAGATGTTTCTCTCGAATTACCGTATTACATTCGTTAATCCTAAATGTCTATTCGCATCTGTCTACATTTCATGAGAGTTGTAACAAGGAAGTTAGTTCTTTTTCTAGATTCTTATAGAATAGTAGACTATTATGCACAAGATATAGTACTGCTGACATATGAATAAGCACTTATGTCACTCCATCATGGCAACAGAAATAGAAAATTATTTTAACGTAATAATAATAATATCTATGGTTCTTACCGTCAACGCAATCAGGGGTAATATTCCACTACAGCCGTTTCGGAGATGACTCCATCGTCAGGTGCGTAGTGGTACACTAAACTATAGTCTTGTCACATTTAACACGAGTTTTCTTCATTTGCATTGCGTCAAGGGTTGAATAAATAATACACATATATGTACAGGACGGACACACGAAAACATTTAGAGCGCGTGCATGGCTTGAAAACTGACGACCGACAAAATTGGTCGGTCGCCAGTTTTCAAGCCGTGCACACGCTCTAAATGTTTTCGTGTATTCGTGTTTTTGTGTGTCCGTCCTGTACATATATGTGTATTATTTATTCAACCCCTGACGCAATGCAAATGAAGAAAACTCGTGTTAAATGTGACAAGACTATAGTTTAGTGTACCACTACGCACCTGACGATGGAGTCATCTCCGAAACGGCCGTAGTGGAATATTACCCCTGATTGCATTGGCGGTAAGAACCATAGATATTATTATTATATTTTCACGCAATCTGCCACACTCAAGAATATAATATATATTTTAAAGTAATGTATAATGGTAAATAATACTGTTAACATACCATTTATGACAACCTTCTGTCTCGTTATAAACATTTTGATTTGAATACAAACATTTTGTTTGTAAAATATATCGTCTTGTCAATAGTTTTTATTGAGTGGTATTAAGTCACTATTCCGTAAATAAAGTAAGGAATATATCCATAAACTTTCTTTGTTTTTGAAGTAAGATATAACTCTTATTGGGGGTCAATCCCCGGCAGATACAATAGAAATAAAAGATAGTAGCCTAAATTACGATGCCGCACTTAACAAAACAATCACCATGAACATCTCATTAAAAAGACTCTCGGTAAGGACTTCTCACCTCTCGGTTCTCTAGACGAATGCGAGATACGAGAGAAGAGAAGACATGCTGAAACGAAACAATCTTCACGAACATCTTGTTAAAAAGACTCTCGGTAAGGACTTCTCGCCTCTCCGTTCTCTAGACGAATGCGAGATACGGGAGAAGAGAAGCTGTGCTGAAACAAAACAATCGTCACGAACATCTCGATAAAACCTCTCGTTCGCTAAGCAAAAATATAATCAAAACGTCTCGAAAGGTTCAAACAATCAAAACGTTTCGTTTGTAACATCTCGCAATCGCGCATCACTAATATGGGCCTCGATCGTATGAAGAATCGAAATGAACCATTGCTGTTTCCAAACAACAACCGATACCTATGCCCATTTAAACTCAAGATCGAAAGTGGCGCCAGCTTGATATATCGTCGCTTAGCACTTTTCTTGAAAAAGACGCACAATGATATATCATCACATTGCACTGAAAGGGCTACCTAAATCAAATTGTGGAGGTAATGTTCAATAAATGCAAATAACTGATCAGTTATGGTTCTGATAGAATAATTCCTAAAAACCTCAATAGGCCTACTGAAAGCCAATCTGGAAACATTGTGCCGATCACGTTGTGTACCTTTACAGTTGTAGTAGGCTATTACCCTTTGTTTTTAACCCTATATGTTCGTTTTTATGTTTGTGTATGTGTGCGTATTCAATGTATTTATTTATTATGAATTGGCGACCTTCGAATGAAGCGAGAAGAATCTGTACCGGCCCGACGATCACTCCAATGTGAGTCGAAACCGGTTGCAATTTAGCAACACGTTGATCGCATAAATACCCTACAGGTTAAAAGCAATCAGCAGGCTAAAATGCAATATAATTGTATTAATATGTTACAAAGTTAGAGCACAGAAAACATACTAAGTTACTATAACCCAGAATGCCAACCACATGGTAAAAAGCATTAGGCCTAAAGGCTAGTACTCACTAGGACACCCGGTCGCTTATCAACCGGCGATCTGGTTGACGAGCGACCAAATTGCACAAATATCGCCGTGTGTGTGCGTGTCTGTCAATTTGGTTGAAGGCGATTTGTAGGTTGCCAGGCAAATTTTTGGTTTTCGGACATGTATCGAAAACCTGGGGGTTTCCGATCAACCATTTTATCGCCGGGCAATCAGATTTCTAAAAAAACTAGAGTGTGTACGCTTCAGCGACCAAGTTGATCAACTAAAGACGGCCAGTGCATGCGCAGTACACTGTTTGTGTTAACTGTCAAAACTAAACAGTGCTAGTGCTAAACGTGGTATCTTTCAAGCTAGCTTTTTTTTCCAATATGAGGCGTCACCAATTGCAAAATGTGACGGAAATTGTCGTCTGACACCCTCAAATAATTCTTGTAATCCTGAGGCTGTCGATCACGCAAAGTTCGTAGAAGTGCCATGTGGCTGTAACTGTGTCTGCGTTGAAGCCACTCTTTAGCCCAAAATCTTTTGAACAATGTCTTCCTTCTTCTATGGTTACTGCAGTTAATTAGAATTATAACTGCGGCAGCAATCTCTTCTTCGTAGGTGGGCATGTTGTCACAACACACAGGTCAGTGCAACTAGAGCTTCAACCAGATTCCAGAACCAAACACAGTCCATCCCCACCAAATTTTGATTTCCTGCTCGGTTGAAAGTGCTAGGTATCCTAGTGTGTACCCCCCGGCAATTAAACGTTCAATCATCAACTTAGTTGCTCGTCAACCAGGTCGCCGGTTGATAAGCGACCGGGTGTCCTAGTGAGTACTAGCCTTAAGTGTTTTGAGAGAGCTTTGCCTGTCAATCTGTAGGCAGCGTCACCAGCGTTGCTATGCACTCAGCATAGCAACGCTGGTAGATAGGCCTACTGCTAATAGGCCTATCGATCAAAAACATCGATGGCAAAAAGGTATCGGTGAATTTCCACAGATGTCAAAAATATTTAATATCAGCCTCAAAATATAGATATAAGTTACCTATCTATTATCGACACCAAACACTAGTTTCTGAGCAAAACACAACTAACTTAGGCCTAGGCCTATAACTTAGACCTAAGTTAATTTAGATAAAAATTTTATCAATCATGGAGATTTTTTTAAAATTTAGGCTATCCTCATAACAGCAAGCAAATAATTTCACCAAATAAAAACCTCTTATCCCAGGGGATGTAGAATACCATTTACTCGAATAGACTAGATTATCTAAGGCTTATTTAGGCCTAAGTTATCCTAGTCCTAACTCTAGTGGTTCAACAGATAGGTTTAAGGGGGGGGGGGGTGTTTACACAACACTTAGACTAACTTAGGCATAAGGTTGATAATACTGTAAGGCTAAGTAAAAGCTGTAACTTTATATTAGGCCTACTCGTACAGTACTAAATAACCATTTAAGCCTAGGCCGGTTAACTTACCACTTTTCCCATCGACCACTCTGTTTGGGATATCATCTTCAAATGGCTTTTTCGCTAATTCAGGTGAGGCGCAAACAAACTGCACAGCGAGACCTAAAAAGGTTAGTAACACACCAACTTTCTTCATTTCAAGAATTTTTCACAAAAAAGTTAGCATAACTGGTCAAAATCCCTAGTTTTAATTCAATAGACGGTTGCAACGTTCAAAAGTTGTCTTTCCCCACCATCTCGTATAGAACCAGTTAAACTAAACAACAGCCAACAAACACCAACAAACAACGAAATGAATGCAGCAAGAGCCAAGGGAAGGGATGGTGAACTTGAAATGAACCGTTCCTTTTTCTCCTGTTTCTGATTATCAATAGTAGGCCAGTTTCTTATCTATGAAGCTTTGAATATACACTGAAATGAAATTGTTTATTTATTTACAGTAGAACTCCTATCACCTAAATCAGTTGGGACCGGACCATATTCAGATAATAAAAACCCAGATAATTAGATTTTTTTACCAAAATTCGGGGTATTTTAATGAAAAAAGCAGCCATGCAGAGCTTTAATTAATTTGATTTTTAATGCGATGCAGGTCGTGTCTGCGACGAATTCGCGATCGGAAAATTACGCCATGATTGTGCAGAACGATTATGATTTTCCGTGACCGCAAAAGATATTCAACATGTGCCGGCCGTGATCTCGGATGACAATAACGATGTTTCCGGGACCGGGAGACGATTATTGTCTCACAATCGCGAGATATGTTATGGATTTTGCCGTGATCATGGGTTCTGCCTTCTTTAACGCTTCTTATTACAGAGATGAGTTGATTCCAGACATTTTATCTTTTACCTTGAATTAGTTTTTCAGCCTGTTGGTGCATATTTGCGTTTGGGCCTTGTTTATTATTTGCATACTGTATAAGTTTAGTTTTCCTAAAATAAATAGTTGTAAGACCACTTGTTTATTTTTTTGCAATTTTCACGTATTGTTGGTTGAACACTTGACTTGTGCTTCCACTAGCATTTACTTGTGTAATTGACTGTGTCTCATGCATTTATATAATGTCTATTGTCTATAGATGAATAAATATAATTTCATTTAATTTTCCAGCTTTAGAAGCTGTAGCCAACCAAGCCAATGACGTCTCTGAGTCTTTAATTACAACAAACACAAATTTATAGGAAATGATTGGCATTTTCAGTATCCTTCCTGTGGGCAGGAACCAAGAAGGCACAATCTCGGCACATGAGCGGTTTCTCTATCTTGGCCATCTTTGTCGCGGGGTAGCGGATTTTTATCCCCCTGGAATTTACCCCCCGGGCAAATCTGACGTCACAAACCATGGGGAAAAATTCCGCCTGCAAACTTTTGAGTTACGCAACATCAGTTCGAAAGGATTAAAGGTGGATTCAAACTTATATATTTTCATGGTTGTGAATTTAATCAGAACACATCAAATTATAAGATCGTAGAGTGTACGGGCCGGAATTTTACCCCCGGACTTTTACCCCATTCATAAGGTCAGCTCAAAATGTACTCAAAATGTTCGGGCTTTTTACCGCCGGAATTTTCCCCCCTGCGGATTCTTACCCCCTGGTTAGATATAGAAATAATTGAGAATGATTAATTTTCTTCTTTCTTTTTTTATTTAATTGTACACATTTAATTTTTAAGTATCTTCTTAATTCATTTGAAACCTTAACTAACTAAACAGGTTTTGAAATTGAATTTTAATATTAAAGTTTCAGGATTCCATTTTTGGGGCCAAAACTGTCCAACTGTTTATTAATGTGTATATACATTTTGAATTTCTTTGCAGAAGTCAATACAACACAATACCGGATGCCTACAACTACATTTTACAACTGTTATTTCGATGACATTTCTCAGTACAAACCATAAATAGCTCATGGTTTGTGCCTGAAGAAACAAAAGGCAATATAAAGTGTTATTGTACAACAGAAACTATAGTTATTTGTGCAACTAGTGAGCAATTGACTCACTCGAGAGAAATGCTTACTCACGAGCCATAGGCGAGCCACCCGCGAACAAACTTTAGAGGGCTCAAGTTACTACATCATAGTGACGTCAGCTTTGCCCAGCGAGTAAAATTCCAGGGGGATAAAATACCGGCGACCCTTATTTGTCGCTTTTGGAATGCTCGAGGTCTCTCCCGGTTAACTGGTGGACATCTGAGATTACAGAGCTTCGGAAGAAATGCTTTTGCCTCTGAATTGCAGCACAACGTACAAAAAACAGGGTTGAAGCCAATTTAAGATTGGCAGAGCACATGGCCGCCAGGCAAGTTCTACGAGGTGCCATCTAGGAGGATTAAACATTAATGACACCATCAAAACAGTCGTCACGAACATCTCGATAAAACCTCTCGCTCGCTAAGCAAAAATACAATCAAAACGTCTCGAAAGGTTCAAACAATCGAAACGTTTCGTTTGTAACATCTCGCAATCGCACATCACTAATATGGGCCTCGATCAAACCCTACTTACCCCTTAATTTCTTAATTGTGATTGTACAGGTTGTGTTATAAGAGGATATGTTGTTGGTTGGTTATTTGATAAGTTTATTTATTTGTGAAATTAATAAATAATTAAATCATAGGATTAAACATTAATGTTTAATTCTCCTAGGGTGCCATCAATCATAGCAAGATTAATTAGATGATGAAGCAGCTATGTCAGGATGTTGATACCGATCCCTAGGATACAAAATCATAACACGAAAATTAGGGATACCTAACCTGAACTTGATCCAGCGGAATTCTCAAACCAACTCTCCAGATTATTTGTTTGCATTTTTCTAGCTCTTTCATGTTTGACTTAGGCCTAATATTCAGATTTTGCTAAGTTGTTTTTTTTCTCTAACCTAGGTGGTCAATTATTTGACTATTATCTTAGCTAATCCTTTGTTAGACAAATGTTAGTTTTTATACGATCAGTATTTTAGAATTGTCAAACAAATGGATAGTTTAAACAATGTGTATACGATATACACATATGGTTTATAGCCATAGCCTATTGTATATACAATGTAAAAGCACATTCCACAATCATTCAATTTATAAAATTTACAAACACTCAAAGTGAATTATTAAATGTTAATTCAGGCCTAATGGTTATTTATGTCTAAGACTTAAGTCATTAAAGGAAAGGATTATTTCTTGTACCAGATAACTAATGTATACGTGGTGATATTAGGTTGAGCCACATCATCACATACTACACTCAACACCAATTTAACAAGATAATCACGGCACACTATCTTCAGTTTATAATCTTCGATGACAGTAAATACTTTATGACAAAGTTGAATGAAATAAAATAAGTATTATTTATTACACTTATTAAAAATAATGTAATATTATAGGGATGGTTACTCAGAAAATAAAATGTTAAGCATTTGTGAATTTATATTTGAATAAAAAAAAATTAATTTGTATGGAAAATGTGGTGCATACAGTGTAAATAAAGTCTTGAAACAAATCTGTATTTTTAAAACCGAAATAGATAGAAATAATCTGTTTGTAGCATTGAAACCTAACAAAGCTTCCGCTATTTTTAACACCAAAAAAAAGTTTAACCCAGGGTAGGGGGTAGGGGGTGACTTTATTTTCAAATAGCAACCCCTATTGAGCGACCCCTCATTTTGAAGGGCTTGTCAAAAGAAACACAATGACCAAATCCGAGGTGAATATCTCACCCCTAGCCAAAATGGCGGGTATTCCAAAATGGGTACTTTTTCACATAAATCAAATTTTGGAATACCCGCCATTTAGGCTAGGGATGAAATATCTATCTTGGGTTTGCGTCATTGTATTTCTTTTGATAAACCCTTCAAAATGAGGGGTCACTCAATAGGGGTTGTTGTTAAAAAAATAAATCACCTCCTTCCCCTACCCTTTTAAAAGGGTGAAAAAATTGTTGATTCAAAAATTTGTTGGAGCCTATGTTAACAATCATAATTCCACAAACAGAATATTTCTAACTATTAAGGTTTTAAAAATACAGATTGGTTTCCATATTTGTGAAATTTCTGCTTTTTTACAAATACAGTAAATCAAATTTTGGAATACCTGACATTTTGGCTAGGGGTGTGATATCCACCTCGGGTTTGCGTCATTGTTTTTCTTTTGACAAATCTTTTAAAATGAGGGGTCACTCAATAGGGGTTGCTATTTGATTAAAAATAAGTCCCCCCGTACCCCCTACCCTGTTAGGGGGGTTAAAAATATTTTTGATGTAAAAAATTAAGGAACCTTAGTTAACAGTCAACGCCACAAACAAGATATTTCTATTTATTTTGGTTAAAAAATACAGATTTCTTTCAAGACTTAATTTACATACTCTATGCTTGGTTATCCCTTACATTACAAACTTATTTTGGCGGGGGAGCCATCTTCAGACTGTACATGACATGTCTATTTGAATCTTTTTCTGTCAGAAGCCGACACTTTTAAAAACATTTAAGAACCCATCGATGAGTACAAAAACAACACAGAAATAAACACCATTAATCAGTAATGCCCTGTTTACACGCTCCAATTTATTTTCGCAAACCTGGCTTGCACAAACCAACTGTACAAACCATCGTAACGTATAAATGGCAGATTAGTGCAATCGATTGGATTGGAGTGAGGTTAGAAGGTTGATGAAAATGTTCATCAACCTTGCGATCAGAATTGAAGGTTTGAGCGACGGTTGGAACATGTAAACAGATGTTCATGCCATTTATGCTCAAACTTAGGCATATTCTCAAGCATCAGTCAGTTTCAGTGTACGCTGCTGTACCCTACGAAGCATCATGGCAGGAGTATTGTAAATTTTTAAACGATTTCATTGAACTATACCGCAGTTTTCCACACCCATGGCACATTAAAAGTAAGGACTACTCTGATAGCAACAAAAAAGATCTTGTCAAAAAACAAAAAAGTTTTACTATTGTCACTAAACAAACAGCATACACAGAGCACCTCCTCATGGTGATCACAACAGGTAAAGGCGCTGCAAATCGAAGGAAGGTTTGAGTTAAATACCGTAATGTCTAAAACGGTAATGTCTATTCAAACATGGTTTGCACAGATACTGTATTGGAAAATCCAGAAGCTATAATACTATAATGAAAAAATAAATTGGTGTTAATATATCAAAGAAGGTAAAGATTATGACAAACGTTTTATGGGTTTAACATTTAAATTTATGGTTTATAATGATTGGATT